TTAGTGACCATTATATATTAGTCATTAATATTTTTATTAAATAATGAAATAGAGACAATCAATTTATTGCCGTTAAATAATTGTCACTAATAATAAATTTTGTTGTAGTAATGAATTTTTGCTGTTAGAATGTCTGTCATTAGTCTTAATTTTTCTAAAATTATTTTTTTAATATTTTATTCATATATTATTAATACTAAATATCTATCAATATTATTGATAATTAATCTATATAAAAAGTCTGACTAGTTATTTTAGTGAAACCTCTTCTAAGATCTACCCACATTTTTCTATCTATCTATTTTTTTATCTCCATTGTTCGGATTGAGACCTTGCTTGAGTGATTTATTTTTTATAGTTAATGCGATTAAATGTACTACAGACATAGCATGAATTAGTTCGACTTACTGTAGGGCCGTGGTATTAGTAAATTGGATATTGTTGCTTGCTGGGTGTAATGGCTTTGTCCCAAGTGACAGTTGGTCATGTAGTACATGTCTTGATCTTATTTTGCAGAGAATTTACTTTTGTTTTCTTGTCAGAATCCTCATATACTTCTACACTATTATTTTAGATTTTACCAAGACAACTTATCAGGAAGATATTGTTAGTACCAAGTGGTTTTGGTAAGAATATATACCCATGCAAGCCCTTTTTTCGGATAAGGAAAATAAATTACTCTACCTCAAGATTCAGTTCATTAATTTTTATTTTTTCCTTTCTTTCTTTCAGTAGGTGCACCAAACCAGTCATGTAGAGGGAAATTTTCATGTCTAACACAGTTCATGACAAGATGAAGTGCGACCAGCCTAATGCATATCAAGAAATAAGATAGAATGGTAATAAATCGATTTAATCTAATACAAATAGTAAAATATTAAATAAAAACAAATTTTGAAACTTGAAATAATTGAAAATTTCTAAACTTGAAATAATCTACAATTTTAGTGCCAAAAAAATATTTTTTTTTGTCATTAGTCATTAAAACTAAAAATTCTAAACAAATATCAGTCAAAAAATTTAAGGAAAAAAGTGTTAATTAAGTGGTAATATTTATATATATTTAAGGATAAAAAAAAATAGCAGTAAATGAATAAATTTAGAGATTTAAATGAAACAATTAAAAATCTCATGAACTTATTTAAAATTTTCATTTTTATCAATAAAAAAGTAAAATCATAAGATTTATTAACCATTTATACAATGAAAAGAAAAATATCACTTTTACATTTAATCATTAAAAATATCTGAATTTCATTAGGTTGAAAATATGCTCCACATTTATAAGTTTGTCTTTAATAATTATATTATTTTTGTCCAACCATATAATCTAGAGTCTCTAGACTACAATAAATCATATTGTTCCCCAAACCTCTTTTTTTTTTCTTTCCAGATAGATCAAAACTATGTTGTAAGGGACTCATGATGTCAATAAACATTACCACTTGAACTGCAAGCCACTAGTAGCATTATTTCCATGCATATGAAGAGAACAAACATGAGAACATTTGGTGGTTTACAGTTTCCCCCTTACAAAAAATACATGAATTATCTTTGTTATATATCCAGCACTATTTATTTTCTTTAGATTTATTCTTCTATATTCTATCAAGTGACATCTTCCAAACAAAGGTTGATACATTTGAAGATATAAATATTCCCAAAATTATCTGTAAAATGATGTTTCCCTAAAACTCTCCTATCCATGTAACCAAATATATGTATCTTTTACTGAGTATACACTGATGTTGTTCCCTTTTCAAATATATAACAATGTGTTATCTTTTTTTTACTTTATTGAATTTATTTCTTTGCATAAATTCTTACAACAACTATTTCTCTCACTCAATCTGGTTGTTCCAACCTCAAGCGTGTGGTTCAGCGGTAAGGGTTGATCCACGCTTAAGCAAGGTCAGAGATTCGAATCATGTATTGCGTATGCAGAAGCGTTAAATCTTGGGGCCAGCTATCCCACCTTGTGAGGTGCCTCCAACGTAACGAGGAGATTAGTCACTGCTGTCGGCAGTGGATACTCCAGGAACGAACCTAAAAAAAAAAAATCCGGTTGCTCCTCCATTTAAAGCCCCATTGCCAAACCTACCATAACTTTTTTTCAATCTCTCTTACTTTGCAATCTTGTTGTTTTGAGATCTCATATAATCTAAGTGAATTTTGAACTTAATTTTTCCCTTGTACCCAATCCTCCCAAAACTTCATATCTTTCTCATCCAAATTTTTCATTCTATTTTCTTTTCAAACCAATTCTCGTAGTCATCATTCCTAGACACCCTCCCCAACACCAAACTAACCCCTTCTTAAAAATTTTTACCTCCAGTCTTCCATTCACCATATTCTGCTTTCAAGACCCTAATCATGTTATTTTGTTCATTCAACATCCTTTACTTCTATTTCCTCAAGAGAGCTTTGCTGAATATATCCAAGTTTTTTATTATGAACCTCCTGCTAGCTTAGAACAACACACCTTTTCCCAACTAACCCATACTAACCTTCTATCATCTTTCCCTTTTTTCTCATCAAATTTTCATACTTCATAAACAAATGTGATGTGTTGGACTTTTTAATATCTAAAGTAATTATTTACTAAAAAAATAATTATAAGCTTATTTTTCAACAGAGCCTCTTTTAGGCACTTTACTTCAATCAACGGTTTTTAGAAGTCTTTTTTTAATTTGTTATCTATTTTAATTTGTATTTATCATATACATTTCTAAATTAAATTTAACAATTTTAAAATAAATTATAAATAATTAAAAATAACCTTGTATTACAATATGAATTATTTTTAACAAATATAAAATATAATTTATATATTTAAAAATTTATTAATATAAATTTTAAATTAATATAAGTTATATATCAAAATATATAATTATTCCAATTTATAGGCTCGTTATATGAAATAAAATCATTGTATATTTCAAAGATTTATTCAGTAATCTTAGGAAATCAACTTAGTAGTAAACTTGTGAATAATCTTAAATTCAGCTTGTTTGGTAGAATGAGAAATTGGAAGATATATGACCCTAAACCTTAAACCCTAAATCCTTCATACTTAATTGTTAATGGGACATAGAACATTTATTTGGTTAGTTCACTCAATTGAAAATCTAGAAGGTACATAGTCCTTCAGACTTGAGCGTGAAGGACATAAAAAGTCTCAAATCAACCTATTAGTTGGTTAGAGAGTCAAACAGTACAATAATATTTATTTATATATAATTTAATTTATTTATATATAATAATCATCTGACTTGTGGAATATATATATATATATATATATATATATCTTTATTTATAGAATCAATGTGGTGAGATTAATACTAGTTTTTTTTAATGATTTCATTATCTAAATTATATCTTATTATTTTAATATATTTTAACTCTTGTAAACTTTAATTTACTTTAAAATTTAAAATTTATTCTTATGTACCTTATTGTTCACTACATGATATAATTTTTTGATTTATATTAAAAACATAGTAAATTAGCATAACCTTTCTTAAAACTTATATTTTTCTTAATAGAGATGAACTAATACAAACAAAAATCTAAAAAAAATCTTAAAGATAAACATAACATATATTTTTAATTAATAATAAATATAAAAATAGATAAATTAATTTTAAGAACTTTTCATTTTCCTTCTTTGTTCCAATTCTCATAACCTAATAACATGACAAATGCAATTACAAATTACAAAATATATAAAAAAAAAAAATATCATTTATAACTTAAAACAGCTTTTAAATTAAGAAGAAAAAAAATACAAGTATCAATATAAAATAATATTAATGCAGCAAGGACAGTTAACATCATTAAAATAAAGATTTTACATTGGTTCTATGACCAATATAAATTCTTCTATGTGAAATGGGAAATAGTTTCTATATAAACTAAAATTACAATTGATGTAAAAAAGTGTAATTATTTTTTATTGAACATTCTGTTAACCTCCATAATCCCAAGCACCCCCTTTTGTTTTGAGGTGTAATTTGCTTTTTTTAATCTTTAGTACAGATAACTTATTTTAACAAGTCATATTATTATGATCTAGTTTTTAATTATTTTCTATAACATCTTCTAGAACAAAAAGTTTTCATGTGGAAGTAGTTTTATGTAGGGACATTTTTCCCCCCTTCATGTGTATGCTACGATTTTATCTTTTGGGTACTAGAACCACTATTTCATATATGCAATTTACAACCTTCTTTGCTGTGGGGTGACTATATTGCCATCTTTTTCCCAAATTTTAGAGGAACACTATTAGAATTAATTTAAGTTTCTGCCATTTAGTATCACTTCTTATGTTGGCAGCTGAGATTCAATTCGTTTGATACATTAGTTTATAATGATTTCTCATACTTTAATTATTTTAATATGGAAATAGACAAGACAAACTGACAGAACAACAAAAGTTTGCTTATTACTCCAAGAAATTTGGACAATAGAAGAAAGCTGAAACAACTTGTCCTTCACTCCTTCCTTATGCTAACAAATAACAAGTTAGGTTGCGTGACATACTGATAGAAATGTACTTGCTCCATTTTGTTATAATTATTGTATTATTGTATTTATAACTTCTGGTTTACAAATAAATATGATTCAATATATCATTAGTTCTTTAAATAAAAATTATAATTGAATTATTTATTTTTATATTTTTATAATTTAATCATAAGTGTGTTTATAATTCATAAAATCTAATAAATTATTTTTATTTTTATATTTTATATTTAAATAATTATGTTAAATTATTATTTTATGTCATTATTTATATTTATTATATTTTAATTTTTTTAACAAATTTTGTATCTCCATAATTATATATGTATTTGGATAAAAATTGAATTTAATTCAATCCATTTTTATTTTAAAGTAATGGTCTTATTACTTTTGAATTTCATACATTAAAAAAGTGAAAAGACAAATTTTCATATTTATATGGTTAAAAAATTGTGAGACAATATTTAAAAAAATTGGTGCCGTTCCCAAATTTGGCATGCACAATAGGATCTGAAAAGCGAGTTAAGCAACAAAGTTAGTATTAGAAAAAAGCACTTTACTTGTCGAAATGTTGCGTCCAAACAGGCCCTTAAGGTTTAGACCGAGATCGTGCTCGAAACGCACAGCATAGAACGATGGGAGACGGCGGTGGAAGCAACCGGTCGAACAGCAACAAGCCGGAGTGGCTGCAACAGTACGATCTGATCGGAAAGATTGGCGAAGGCACCTACGGTCTCGTCTTCCTCGCTCGCATCAAGTCTTCTACCAATCGCGGAAAATCCATCGCTATCAAAAAATTCAAGCAATCCAAAGACGGCGACGGTGTCTCTCCCACCGCCATCCGTGAAATCATGGTGTTTACATCTCAAATTCGGAAGCGAACGAGCTTAGATTGGCGGAATTTTTTAATTTCGAATTTCCGAATAAATTGCGGTTTCTTTTGTTTGTTCTCCGTCGTTTTTAGTGTTTGGAAGCCTTGCGCCAGCGGAGGCCTTTTTTTAAAAGTTGAATTACACGGTTTGGTGGTTTGGATTGGTTTTGAGTGAATTTCGTTTTGTGCTGCAGTTACTGAGGGAGATAACGCACGAGAATGTGGTGAAGCTTGTGAATGTTCACATCAATCATGTGGACATGTCTCTTTATCTAGCTTTTGATTACGCGGAACATGACCTCTACGTGAGTATATATGATCGTGAAACTATTCGCATGGCGTGTGATTGGATACAAACTAGAAGCGTTTTATTGGAGTTTCTCCGCTGAAAATAAAAAATATTTTCCAGTAGAGAAGCTCTAAAAAGTACTTCTAAGCTTGTATCTAGACAAGCTATTAGTCACTTTAGTTCAAGTTGAAGTTGTTTTCTTTTGTAGTTCATCAGAATGTTTCCCGAGAAACTGTTTACTTTCTGATAACTGAATTTTTAAGGGGATTTTGTTTAACGTTGCCTTTTGAGATTCCCACCTAGAGAGATAAACTTTTGGTTGTTGTTGTTGTTTGTGGTGTTGCATCTTTGAAATGGACTTTATGCTATTGTAAAAATTTTGATTCTGTGTCTCGTAAAATGTTGTGAATTTTCTTTAGGAAGAGACATATATAGGTAGCAACGGATTGCTTGTTCTAATTATTTGGGTGTAATGTTGCAATCTTGAATGGCAGGAAATAATAAGACATCATAGGGACAAAGTAAACCAATCCATTAACCAGTATACTGTTAAATCGTTACTCTGGCAGTTACTCAATGGACTAAACTATCTACACAGGTGAGTCTTTTTTGTTTTGAAACTGATGTTGGTTCCTTTTCTTTTCTTTTTCTGTTTATATGTTGACTTATTATATTATATTATATTTTTTCCTGTAGTAATTGGATAATACATCGGGACTTAAAGCCATCAAATATATTGGTAGGATTTTTCACTATATGATTAGTTATTAAACTGCTATAATTGGATTCAAATTTATTTGTCCACTTTTGATTAGTGTGCTTGTTTCTTTAACGAACTTTCTATAAACAGGTTATGGGTGAAGGGGAGGAACATGGAGTTGTTAAAATTGCTGACTTTGGACTTGCAAGGATATATCAAGCACCTTTGAAGCCATTATCTGATAATGGGGTATGAGAACTTTTTTAATTGTTATCCACCTGTATTGTATCTATCATCTGCATATTTGAGCAATTATTCTCACAAATATGTTAATATTTAAGAAGACAAAATCTGGGTAATCATATAATACTGGCTGTAGGAGCGTATTGAGTTGTTCATTTTGAGTTTAGTGCACTGAACTGTCAAGCCTGCTGGCAACCTTTTTTTTTTTTTTTATTCTGCTCATGTTAGTTGTTATCATCATTAACCTTCAGTTAGCTGTGCACTTGTATCACATTTTAGTTCTTCATGTTTGATGGTTCAATCTTTAATTTATAATATACTAACATGCAGGTTGTTGTAACTATTTGGTATCGTGCTCCTGAGTTGCTTCTTGGAGCAAAACATTATACCAGTGCTGTTGGTATCCTTTAATTTAAGTTATATATATATATATATATATTTGTAATATTTTCCAGTCAAATAATTGAACCAGTGTGCCAGTAAAAAAAAAATATTACAGTTAACTTGTGGTTATGATTGTGTGTATTTGTCAATATCTTAGGTATTTTCCAAGTCTTTTAACCTATATACTGATATTTGATGATATTCTTGGTACTTTCGCTGCTATTGCTAATTTGGCTTAAGGTTGTTTCTTGGATAAGTTATGACTTTCTATGAATCTGAGATGTCAAAGTATCAAGGATCTACAAGAAAGGTTGACATGGTGTAACTGAATTTTGAAAATTTGAATCAACCTACATGGATGTTGGGAGTGTGGTACACATAATCCAAAGATGGGCTTATCTGCCATGTATAGTAAAATAAATAAATGTGTCTGTAATGTATGGTCTGATTCTGAAATTGGTCCAGTTATGTTTCCTTAAATAGACATTTAGACATGTGGGCTGTGGGATGCATTTTTGCTGAGTTGCTGACCTTAAAGCCTCTATTTCAAGGTGCAGAAGTCAAAGCAACACCAAATCCCTTTCAGGTACTTGATAGTTGATACTATAACTTACAGCTTTCTGATTCTGCATTTGATTAATGTTATAGATGTAGCCTCTATATTAGTATTGCCTTGTCATTTTTTGGTTTTAAAATAATCCTTGTTCGGTTGTTCCACTTGCAGCTTGACCAACTTGACAAGATATTCAAGGTTTTAGGTAATTTATTTGCTTACAATTTTTCTTTCTCCCTACGGGGGGGTGTTCATTCTCTTGATGATATTCCAGACCTACATCAGTGGACATTGTTACTGTGCCAGGCCATCCCACATTAGAAAAGTGGCCTTCCTTAGCAAATCTTCCCCATTGGCAGCAAGATACACAACATATACAAGCACACAAATAGTAAGATCATTATTAACGTGTTTATACAAATATATGCAGGATAAACCTATTACTATTGTGTGTTAGTCCTTTGTTTTTTTTCCTTTCCTTGCCTGTTCTTCTTTGAAACTAATATTTTTCTTTTCATTATATTAATGGATCTGTTCTGCTGCTATTTGCAAACAGTGACAACACTAGCCTCTATAGTGTTGTACACCTATCTCCAAAAAGTCCAGCATTTGACCTCCTGTCAAAGATGCTTGAGTAAGTTTTTCTTTCCAAGCTTCTGAGAGATTTTGCCATGCCCATACAAATTGATACCATATTTTTTCTTTTTAACATTTATATGATGCTAAGTTGAACACAGGGTGGAGTGGTACCCTCTTGTATACTTGTGATTTGTGGTGATATTTCCTCTCTAATATTGCTATGGGTGGTTGAATAAGTCACAATATTTTGTTTCCTAGTCCAGTGGTAACATGTGAAGGATGGGTTTGTGATTATTGTTACTTACTATTGCAAAATTCATCATCATTACCTATTGTCCCTGTTTTTTTAAGAATTATAACTGGTTTTTATCAAACCAAAACCTGTTATGGAAAAACGGTTATGGTTTGAAATAACAAACCACATTCATCAATGGTCATTAAATGGTTATTGGCTTGTGTATTTGTGAGCAGATATGATCCACGAAAGCGCATAACAGCGGCCCAAGCTTTGGAGCACGAGTAAGACTCCTTTTATTCTCCTTTGTTCTTTCATGAAATCTGCATACCTAGTGATGAAAAAGTATGATTTTACATTTCTTTGGTTAATGGTTTGTTGTTCTGTCTATTGAAATCTTGACAACATTCCACACTTTTTCCATGTTGGTTTTATTTTCTTGATACATCATACTTATGATGGTTTACTATATGATGTGGTTGCCAACTTGCCATCTTATTGTTGTATTCGATATATTTCATGCCATGTGTTCATAGAGGTAGTCTACTGATTGTTTCATAATAGCTAGTGACACTGACTTGCCTACTTCATTTTGTCATACATACCAAGTTGTGAGATCTTGCCAAACATTGCTGGATCACTGATTTTGGTGGTAATTGTGATTTGAAGTTGATGCAGTTTTACTTCATCAATATGACTTAGATGTATGGTTGAGAAAGCTTAAAATTGGTTGTTGCTTTCAAATTGAAATTTCTTTATGTTGGGGCTGTGCGCTGTGACTTTTGATGGAAAGACACCTTAATTTTTATAATATATATGTGTCTATCTTTATTGTTTATATAATTATTTCTTTGTATATTTCAGTTGTGTTCTCTCTTAAGCATCCTTATGATTTGTTTGCCAGGTATTTCAAAATTGAACCAGTACCTGGGCGGAAGTAAGGCCTTTTTCTATTTTGGCTTGGTTTTTTCCTTATGTTTTGATTGGATAAAACATTTTCCTTTAACTATTGGTTATTTTCCATTGATTTAAAAAATTGTTTGGAAGGTTTATAGATAAACAATAGTCAAATAGTTCTTTTTGGGTTCTATATATAAAAAGAAAGTAGTGGTCTTCATTAAGCATGTTTTTGGCAGTCGTTTATTGTATTTAATTAGATGTTTGTGAAATCAATGCTCAGTGCATTTGTACCCTGCCAACCTGGAGAGACATTTGTGAATTATCCCACACGTCCAGTGGATACAACAACAGATTTTGAAGGCACAACCAACATGCAATCTTCACAGCCGGTATGCAAAGATATAAAATCCTATTGAAACTATATCATTCTAAGCCGAAATCATAGACTTAATTTATCATTAACCCCCTCTTAATATTGTAAAGTCAAATAGATTTAGAATTTTCGTTGAGTAGGGCATATCTGAGCTAAGGATATGATTAAACTTTGTCCTTGACCATCTTTATGTGGAAAACATTTATATATTCTACAGGTAATACTCCTCAGTAGTTTAGCAACTGTCCATGTGTTATTCGATATAGCAGTTGTGTTATTCACATAAAGGATAGATGGAATTACTTTGGCTAACCCATGTCTTTTGACCATTTTATATAACTTCAAAGGAGTTTTTGCACAGAAAATATAGTTAATAATTGTTAATGTTCAATGATTTTGTTATGTTATAGGACTTAGTTAACCTGTTATACTGAGTGGTTTCTCTTAATGGATATTCTGCTTACTTTCGGAAATTTAAGTGCCTTTCTGCGCCCCCGCTAAAAAAAATAAAATGCCCATACAAAGTCGTTGATAAATTTTGGTTTTGTATTTACATACTTGCATGTGCACAAGCATATGCATGCATAAACATTTTTCAACTTCATGCTTTTAAATGTATTACTTAATTTTGAGTTAGGTTTCGTCTGGAGCTGCAGTTTCTGGCAGCATGCCTGGTGGTCATGTATCGAATAGATCTGTCCCTCGGCCAATGAATGTTGGTAGCATGCAGAGAATACCTCATCAGGCAATGCAAGCTTATAATCTCACATCTCAGGCAGGGATGGGTGGGGGTATGAATCCCGGTGGCATCCCAATGCAACGAGGTGTCCCACAACAACAGGTTTAGTATTTATTGGGAAAAAGGCAGGGAATTAGCTTTTTTGTCCTTTCTCTAAGGTAGATCAGTAGATGTGATATTCCTGTTTTCCTTTTGAACAGTTGAGAAGAAAAGACCAAATGGGGATGCCAGGATACCCTCCACCGCAGAAATCAAGACGTATTTAAGGTAAATATTGTTGTTCCACGGCATAGTAGTGGCATTTGTAGTGGCCATCAACGAAACAAAAACTTGGCTTTTCATAAAACGAGGAGAATTCTGTTGATGTGGGCAATCGTGAGTGTCACTGATTTACTCATGTTTTTTTTAGCAATTTGAATAGGCAATTAGAATTCGCTAGAGTGCTATGTGAAGTTTTGAATTAAACATGAGAGTAATTATTCTTTCTTGTACGAAGATTCTTGCAAAGTATTTCGAAACCACAAATTGAGTATCACCTGATTCACCTCTTTAATAGTCACTCGTGATATGTGGGTTGTGGCAAACATCACGGTATATATTTTCTTTTTTTCATCAAATTTATCCTTTTATGGTTTCCAGTCAACATTGTTCAACTTTTTGGCATGCTTGAATTAATAGCTGGATGACTTCTTAATATTTGCAATAAATCTGAAATTCCATGTCACATGGTTAGGTTGTGCTGGTAGAGATCAAGTGAAGATAGATGTGGTGTCACTAGGGAACTTGAGCTCATTCAGGACAATTCATGAGCCCCCTAGTTCAGATGGTTTGCCTCCATGCTTGCGGACTCACTTTTTGTATATTCTAGGTTAGTTGCATTGAGCTCATTATGAAGACTAGAAGAGTATTGCTTAAACACTAATGGAGCCCTTGGATGGGAGTAAACGTAGGAGTAGGGTGAGCTACTGGAAACACATGTATATAATGCTTTAGCTGTACATTTTTGTTGTACTCTGTGGCTGTTAGGAAAGATAAAATGTTAGCTATCATGTAGCTATGTATCATGTAGGTTTTCGCCAAAATGGAACTTTTAGTGACTAAACTAACATGTAGCTATGTTGTACTCATTGTAGAATAATGCCTTAATTTAATGGAAGGAAGTTACACGTCACTTGTATTACGTGCATCACAACTTTTTTTAAATCGAGTATGTTGTGTTCCGTGGATTCACATTACTTTCTAGTATTGACTATTTATTGGGAACATATATGCAATCTTGATTATTAAAGCTTTTCGTAAGAAACTGTCAGCTGTCTTAAAATTAAATTAATTTGTTAAATTTAAAAAAAAAAAGTTTTCAACCCTTCATTAGTAGGCAACCTAGTGGATCGCTTCGATTAGGGATGTAAATGAGTATAAGTAACTCGTGAATCTGAACTAATTTAAATCAATCCAATAAATTTGAATTGAACTTTTTTAGTATTTATGTCAGATCTAACCGAATCCGATCGAAATTCAGCACTATACAGGTTAGATAATAAACCCTAATTTATTCACACTTTCTAGCCAACTTGACAAAAATGTGTTCACATTTCCATTCTGTTCTTTAGGTTCTAACACAAGATACTAAGTAGATAAATTAGCTGAATAGTCATCAGATACATTGAGTACAAGAATTTCTGCTTGGACAAAATCTTGAGTCATATTAATGAAAATATCAGTGACATATTGTATGACAATCAAAGGAGATAAAAGATATCTGTTTTTTCTTTTCTCTTGGTCCATAAAGGTATTTCTCCATTCCTTTCAGCTCCACTGAAATTATTCGGGCTTCAAAACTGTGGTCCAATTGATAACTTTTTTGGCCCATAATCCAATTAATGATGAAAAAGATATAGGAGTTTCTTCATACAATGATATCTAGAATCTACTAGGTCGTGCTCGTGTAGACGGGTCCAGAAGGTTTTCGACTTTTCTGAAGAAAAAAAAAATCACAGAGCCAAATTCCAATCATTAAGCATAATATTTTTCTGGAACATGCGAGATCGACCCATGATTTCATATAAATACCTGGTGTGTCCGTTCAGATTTGAGACAACAACAAACACGAAAAGCATCACTTGCCAACATATCACACATCATTCTAAAGCGTTCCAAACTTAAGCTAAGTAAGGAAGAGAAGATGTCACTGATCCCAAGTGTCTTCGGTGGTCGAAGGAGCAACGTATTCGACCCTTTCTCCTCTCTTGACGTATGGGACCCTTTCAAGGATTTTTCTTTCCCCTCTTCACTTTCTGCTGAAAATTCTGCGTTTGTGAACACTCGAGTGGATTGGAAAGAGACCCCAGAAGCACACGTGTTCAAGGCTGATATTCCAGGTCTGAAGAAGGAGCAAGTGAAGGTAGAGATTGAAGATGACAACATTCTTCAGATAAGTGGAGAGAGGAACGTTGAGAAAGAAGATAACAACGATAAGTGGCATCGCGTGGAGCGTAGCACTGGTAAGTTCTTCAGGAAGTTCAGACTGCCAGAAAATGCTAAAGTGGATCTAGTTAAGGCTTCTATGGAAAATGGGGTTCTCACTGTTACCGTTCCCAAGGAAGAGGTTAAGAAACCTGATGTTAAGACCGTGCAAATCTCTGGTTGAAAACCCACATATATAATTAAATCATTTGTTTTGCTTTGTAGAAGAATATTGTGTCTGGTGTGTCTAAAACTAAGATTCTGGTGTGTGTCTACATAATATCGTATGTACCTTAAATTTTAAGGAAGATCCTACTGTTTGGGTTGTAATCGTTAATTTTTCTGGTTTGTGATATTTGTGTGCAAGGAGTCTTAAATGTGATGTAACAAAAAAAAGAGAATGTAGTCTGAAATGTAATTGGATTATTGCATCTGTTTTTTTGCTTAGACACAACTGGTTTGTGTAATTCCAGCTTACACTAAATAAATTAGTCCATCTTAAGACAATAGCAAAAAATGCAAACGTGTTCTTAAACTTAGTTTTAAATCACATACAACTGGGAGAGAAAAAAAAATAATTTGAGAAACATTTATTATGATTTTTTTTAAAATGAGGATATAACTATGATTTTTTTAATTGTTATTAACCTATACTAATCGTGTGGGAGAGAAAAAATAATAATTTGAGAAACATTTATTATGATTTTTTTTAAAATGAGGATATAACTATGATTTTTTTAATTGTTATTAACCTATACTAATCGGGATGATCACAATGCAATGTTCGATTTTTATAAAAAATAAAATAAAATCTTAACTATATAAAAAAATTAAAGGCGGTTCAATTTAGTTTGAATTGAAGAATTATAAAATTCAAATTGAACTAAATTAAACGAATTACAAAATTTAAGTCAAATTAAACTAGCTAAATATTTTATTATTTGATTTGATTTGATTTTGTGATTTTTAAAATATATTATTTACTAATTAATTAAAAATATTTAAAATTATCTTATTTCTTTAAGATCGAATATAAAACTAAAAAATATATAAATTTTAAAATATTTTAGTTATTTAATATATTGAACATCGATTTTAATTTTATTATTTTATTAAAAATATTTATTTAATATAATTTTTATTATTATATTAAATAATTTTTTCATATATAATCTGTCACTTAAAACATTAATTCATTAATGTTATAAATAATTTATAATTTTTACTTTTAAAATTTAATTTAATAATTTACAATTTTATAAAGCATTTTTTTTAAACATTATAATATATATTTGGAGAAAAAATATCTTTTAATGACTTTTAATTTTATAAAATATATTTTGTGTTATGTGTCAATTTTATATATTTTTGTGCATTTTTTTAAAATTTATATTTACAAATAAGTAAAGTTTGATTCAGTTTAAAGCTATTTTATATTTCAATTCAAAAATCCAATCAAACCATGTAGTATCGTACAAAACTGAATCTTTAATTTGTAGTCTTTTAGTAGGTTTTGATTTTTTTTGGATGGTTTATGATTTTTGGTTTCAGTTGATTTGATTGATTTTGAACTCCTATGCATGTGAGCGAGTTGCATTAGTCTAGTTTGAATAAATTTGTACCTAATTTGATTAAAATTTAACAAGTTAGATTATAAAATTTGTACATTATTTTATTATTTAACTTAATTTAATGATAAATAAATTAAATTTAGTTAAATTAATCAAGTTAATATCATTAATACTTTAAAATTTAATTATTTCATAATAGGAGGTATTTAGTGGGTTGTTTATTGTTAAGCAACACTTCTTATAGGAAACTCTCATTGGAGTGATCCTACATGACACTTCAATTACTTAAAAAAAATTTAGTGTTGCTTGTACAAGGTACGTTTCTTAGCATTGAGGAGAAAAATCTGATTGGTTAAAATGCATCTACCTGGAAAATGGTTCAAATTTAAGAAAATAAAAAAAATTGAAAAGAACGTGCTTAGCTCATTTTCGTCTCCTCCAACACCTTCCAACACCTTCCGCGCATGACCAGAACGGCAGCCAGCGACCACCGCGTGACCAGAACGACAACCAGAACCACCGCAACCACCGCGAGCGCCAGAACCCCGCGTGCGACCCATAACCCCTCCGCATGCGGCGAGGGCACTCTTTCTTGCCTATTGACGCGTGCGTCAATGCTCACCGCAAAAAAACGAATATAGTCCCAAACTCGTGCTTAAAAAAATGCACAAACAAATTCACTTATTTAGAATAGCATTTTTTTTAGATTATATATATAAGATAGATGATTTTGTTGAGCTTTTTTTTTTCGGGTATAATTAATTCATAAAGAAGTGTAAAATTTACATTAATTTAATTTCTAATAAATTAATAATTAATTACTCAAAATAATTCTTTTTATCTATTAGAATTACAATACCATTTCAATATTAGAGTTTAAACTTAAGAGTGAATACTTATTATTCCAATTCTTTTTATTAGACTAATTTTAATAGTTCATTTAATATTTTTTTAATAATAATGGTATTAATACTTCACTGTAATTGTAAATATACATAAAATAAATATTTCTTTAATAATATAATTTCATACACAAACAATGTTAGGTATTAATTGTCAATATTAGGTAAGGTGTACATATACAATCAACAAGTTATAAATGTAATAAAGAAGTGCTGCAGTAAAGAAATTGGCTGAAGTGAAGGAAGCAGCTAAACATTAGTGCAATGTATGAAATTCTCATGAAGGACACATCTGGAATGACTAAGAAGCAGCTCAAAGATTATGAATTGACTTGTAATTTTATTAGGCCCAAATTAGGAGATTAAATATTATTGTGATTTTAATTTATGTAAATTAGACTAGTTTTATTGTGTAATTTTTTTTATTATTGTAATTTTTGGTATTTCTTTTTATTAATAAATTTATTTTATTATTGTAATTTTTTGTATTTTTTTATTATGTAATTTCTTTTTATTATTAAAATTTTTTATATTTTTTATTATGTAATTTTTTTTATTATTGAAATATGAGTTGTAAAAAAATTGAGGTGTCAAAAAGTGTAATATGAGTTGTAAAAAAGTTGAGGTGCTTATAAGCAATTTCCATTGGAGCAAAAGTTGTAAAAATATAGTATGAGTTGCTTATGAGTGACATGGCATAGTGAGACCCATTTAAAGTGGTTGGGAGTTGCTTATAAGCAACTCCCATTGTAGATGCTCTTAGTCTAGTTTGAATAAATTTGTACCTAATTTGATCAAAATTCAACAAGTTAGATTATAAGATTTGTACATTATTTTATTATTTTACTTAATTTAATGATAAATGAATTAAATTTAGTTAAATCAATCAAGTCAATATCATTAATACTTTAAAATTTAATTATTTCATAATAGATATAAATTATTTAATCTTTTATTATAAATGTAATATTATTAATTAATAAATAATGATATAAATTAAATTTTAAAATAAATTTATTAATTTATTATTAACTTAAACAACTAATATTAATATAAAATAAAATTTAAAATTAATATATTGTATTATTACAATGTTATAATTTAAAAATATAAAATTTGTTCTTGAGTAAAAGTGATATAGAATATTATTTTGAGTAATAAATTATCTAAACACTAATTCAAACATAAAAACTTGTTATTCAATTTTATACAATATTTAATTTTGATCAAATTAGGTTATATTTGACTCAAACATTAAAAAAAAGATCAAAACTTACTCCACCAATTTGAAATTAGTTCGGATTTGCAAGTTATATGTAATCGCTTACACTCCTATCCCTATGTACTAATTACTTGCTTCTTAATTTTTTTTTTAATCTTGTTTAATTTATTTATGTGAATTATTATGCAAACCTGAAATATTATTCTAAACTAATAAAGAAAAAAGCAACTTGTAACTCTAAAAAAAGATGGATAATTATTTTTAAATAGATGATTAGTTTTTTTTAGTAAAAAAATGAATGTCCAGTTGTTTTTAAACATATATACACCTTTTTCGATTTTAATTTTAACATATACATTAATGGACTAAAAAATAAAAAATTAAATATAAAATAGATATAATTGACTTTTCAAAAATAAACACTAAAAAAGTGTTTCTGCTTTATATATTTTGTTATAAATTCATAATTAAAAAGCAAATGATACCAATAAATTTAACATTTTAGATTTTATTTTTAACAATTTGTTATAGTAATTGTGCAATATATTCTATTTGAAAGTTTCATTATTTTTTTCTCTCTCTAAAATTAAATGAAGAGGGATTACTTAAGGAAATTAAAATTAAATAAAAAGGAGTTTTACTTTATTTCATTTCTCATTTATATCTTTCTAAAAATTTGAGGCAAGCTAAAAAAGTTTATTAAAAGCCTTCCTCTCTTGTTTTTATTTTTAGACATCGTCTAAAAAACTCTAATCAATAAAAAAGTACTTGTGTGTATATAAATTCATGTTCATCTTCTTATTTAAATAATGTGAGACTTTATTTGTATTCCAACAAATTCTTAATTTACTTTAAGTGAATTTTGTAATGAGCTTCACTATTTTATATTTTTTATTTAAAAATATTTTATAAAATATTAAAATAAGATTTTATTGCTAAGAATTCTTTCTTGAAAATCCTTATATAAAAATGATTCTCATGTCGTATTATTCATGTTAAAATGTTACAATGATAAAAAGAAATAAATTATTGTGTATACAACGGAGGTCTTTATTTCACTTATTTTTTTTCTTATTAAGCACAATACATAAAAAGATTTCTCCATTGGAACAAGTGCTTATTAAGCAACCTGTAAGTAGTAGGTATTTATATAAGCACCTCCTGAAAAGCAAATTATTAAAAATTATATATATAGAGAGAGAGAGGAGAGATGCATTTACTCAAGGAGTAAGTATATCTAAATTTACTCTGTTCAATAATTCATGTTTTATATCAAATTTCAATAATCCAATTGTCGAATTGAAAGTTGTTAATGCATAAATTAAATATGAAAATTTAAAAAAAATTAAAAATCATTTAATACTTCGTCTTATTAATTCAAATTAATGTATAAAATAATTTTATGATTATCAGTCAATTTAAATTAATAAAATGAAGTATCAAATGATTTTTAAATTTTTTAAAATTTTTTGCAGACTTTATCTATGCATTAAAAACTTTAAATTCAACTGTTGGATCGTTGAGATTTGATGTAAAATATGAGTTATTGAACGAAGTAAGTTTAGGTAGACTTATTCCCAGAGTAAACAAATCCCTTACTCTAAGAGAAAATTTTGGTTGACTTATTTTATTCAATAACTCATCTTCTACATCAAATTTCAATAACATATCCATTGAATTAACAAATTTTGATGGATATACTAAATCCATAAATTTTTTTAAAAAAATTGAAAATTAAATGATATTCGATATATAAATTTGAATCAACATATAAAATATTTTTATATTTGTCAATTTGAATTAATAAAATAAAGCATAAAATAGTTAATTTTTAAAATTTTGTAGACTTGATCAGTACATTAAAAAATTTTAATTTAACACTTTGATTGTTGAAATTTGATATATATATATGTGTGTGTAGAAAGATGAAAGATATCTAATGAGAGCTTGTTTTATTATACTCCTATTTTTTTTTATAGTCGTTTTAACACTATTTTTTTATTCTTTTTTATTGTTACTTTTCTAAAATTAATGACTTATTAAATTTATTTTTCATTTTTATCCTTGATAATTAATGTATGTTTACTCAACAATGTATTTATTCATTTCCAATGTACTTATTTCTTCTCCAACCACCTAAAAGGTATAATAGAAAAATAAATAATAAATACTTTGAGACTAAAATATCAATCATTTTCTTAATTCATGTGCATAAACCTTAAACGTCAAATAAAAAAAAATGGAAGGAATAAAAGATAAGATGAGTAAATCATAACCTATATATTATAGAAAATAGTTAGTGAATGAAAATAAAATTCAATTGTAGATACTTTCTTACAAAATTATTATCATTATCTTCTCTCTCAATTATCAACATTATTATCACCCAACATCACAACCGCTACCACCACATAATTATAGTCATTGTCACTTCCACAATCATCGTCGTTATGATAATAGTGATAATAATAACTATAACAATGATGATGATCGTGGTAGCAATAATGTCACCATTATTATCACTATTATTATTATCATTATTGTTGAATTGATTAATAATAAAGAGTTATATCTCTTATTAAAAAATAATGATATTAAGAATGTAAAATTATGATTTTAAAGAATAACAAGGATAAACAATAAGTGTTTTGATTATAAAAAAAGGGTATAAAAAAAAATTCAACAAAAGGTATTTAAAAAGAGAAAGAGTAACGAATGAGATAGACTTAATTATAAAATGGAGGATAAATTTTAAAAATTAAAAAAAAAAAAAGAGAGAGAGATTTATTTATTAAAAAGAAAAAATGTGTATATATCATGTTATTTGCGTACTGAAAGATAACTGTTTCTCCATTGCACGCATATTTAGGATTTCAGCCCAGCTAAAATTATTCTAGCCTGACAATTTATGGCCCACAGCCCAACTTGATGATGATACCTAGAACTTACTGGGTCTCATCCAGTCAAGTCCAGAAGCTTTTGGAATTTTATTGAAAAAAACATGGCAACAAACCAATCATTAAGCATAATTATTTTTCTGGAACATGCGAGAACGACCCATTATCTCATATAAGTACCTCGTGCATCCTTTCCCACCTCAGACAACAAAAAAACAAGAAAAGCATCAATTGCCAACAAATCACACAACACTCTACAGAGTTTCAAACATCAACTAAGAAGAGATCAAGATGTCACTGATCCCAAGTTTCTTCGGTGGTCGAAGGAGCAACGTATTCGACCCTTTCTCCTCTCTTGACGTATGGGACCCTTTCAAGGATTTTTCTTTCCCCTCTTCACTTTCTGCTGAAAATTCTGCGTTTGTGAACACTCGAGTGGATTGGAAAGAAACCCCAGAAGCACACGTGTTCAAGGCTGATATTCCAGGGCTGAAGAAGGAGCAAGTGAAGGTAGAGATTGAAGATGGCAACATTCTTCAAATAAGTGGAGAGAGGAACATTGAGAAAGAAGATAACAACGACAAGTGGCATCGCGTGGAGCGTAGCACTGGTAAGTTCTTCAGGAAGTTCAGGCTGCCAGAAAATGCTAAAGTGGAACAAGTTAAGGCTTCAATGGAAAATGGGGTTCTCACTGTCACTGTTCCTAAGGAAGAGGTCAAGAAGCCTGATGTTAAAGCCGTGCAAATCTCTGGTTAATCAATGTCCAACACACATGAAATGTAGTGTTTATCTTTGTTGTAAGAAGTGTATTGTGTGTGGTGTGTATGAAACAAAGATGCTGGTGTGTCTACATAATATTTTGTGTGCTATGAATTTTAAGGAAGATCCTACGATGTGAATTGTGATTGTTAGTTGTTCTGGTTTGTGTTATTCGTGTGTGTCAAAGTGTCTTCAACTGTTATGAACAAAAAAGAGAGAATGTAATGTATACTCTAATTGGATTTCTTTTCTTTAGAAATTATCATGTATACCTCGTGAATAATTCCAGCTTACAGGAAATATATATATATATATATATATATATATATATATATATATATATATATATTATTTTTTAAATTATCATATAGATAAATAGACTAGCCTATCTGACCTCAATATATATTATTTTTTAAATTTTTTTTTTTTCGTCCTTGGAGTATCCACCGTCGATAGTAGGGACTAATCTCTTCGCTACGTTGGAGGCACCTCAAAGGGTGGGATAGGGTGAGATAGCTGGTCCCAAAATTTAACGCGACCGCATACATAACGCAGGATTCGAACCCTGACCTTGCTTAAGCGTGGATCAATCTCTATCATTGAACCACACGCTTGGGGTTAAATTATTCTTATTTTACTTCTCATTCCTAATTAATATATTTTTTTTATTAATTAAAGTGTATATTTTATAATATTTTTTTTCCTAATTAATACACATTTTCTTTATAATCAATTATAATGTATTTTGTTTAAAAAGTTAGTGCATTTTATCAATACATTTTATAAAAAATAAATAATATATATTTAATCTTATATAACAGAACAAACAATTGTTTTAATTTGAATTTTATAAATAAAAATAAAGATAATTACATTTTATAAGTACTTAAATAATAATATTTTATAAATACTTAAATAATAATATATTCAAAATTTTACTTATCAATATATATATTCAAATACAATAACTTAATGAACTTTTAACATAAATTTTTGTTATATAATAACTTATTATATAAAATCTTAAATAAATTGTTTATCTAAATAGATCCTAAAAAAGATTAAAAAAATAAATATAAAAATTAAAAATAATGTCTATTTTAAGCGGTAAGAAATATAAGAAAAATAAATAAAATTATAAAAATTAAATAATATTTTAATTTAAGATCAAGAAAAATAATTAATATAATTATTTTTAATTAATTTTATCACAAAAACCTGCAAGCCCTACTACCTAATCAGATGGGATATTCTTGATAGCTCCACCAAAAATTAGAAATTTCTTGGTTGTCTATGACACTTCCATCGGTATTAATTTTGTAGTAATTTTATGTTAATGGCCTCCATTTCACTTGCACTTGTCGAATTTGAATTGATTTATGTAGCACTCATTTGATCATATTGGAGAGTCCATAAATCTGATCATTAAGCATAATATAATTGGTTTAAACAATGTCTTGGTAAACTTCATGGTTCCTTACCTTTCATATGGTCCAACATGCAACAACAAAAGGAATACCATTTGGTCGTATCATGTAATTTCTAATCCATTATTGTTAACTATCTTGATATGTGTCCATTTTTTCATCCTTCAACTGAAGCATGTTCCACATTATTTGAGCCTTGCAGCAATCACATAGCAAGTGTAGAATTGTTTCAGTATGCGATCCACACTTGTAACAAGAAAAATCAAGCGAAAGGTGATGGTGAAAGCAAAATTTGTTAGTTGGGATACTCTTATATATTAAGAGCCAAAGGAAGTGTTTAATACATTCTGGTAATCGGTGAGACCATATCCTAGATCTACTAAAAATTGCATTATCATGGGTTGAATGGGTTCTTGTAAGTTATGGGTACACAAACTTGGTTAAATATTTCTCATCAGAATACTCATACTAAACAATCATATATTGTACCTTATCATTTAAAACAATGTCACAAATCTCTTGTTTAATTTGCAAAAGGATTAGAGTCGCAACATGTTGGCATTATCAAAGAGTTAACCATTCTTACATTGTAGTGTAAAGTTTTTTACACTGACAACTAATCATATCTTTTAAAGTTGCTTATTTTATTATTATTTTATTAAATAAATAACTGACATGTAACTATTAAAAGATATGATTGGTTGTCAGTGTAAAAAAATTTTATACTGACAGTGTATAGGTGATTAACTCATTATCAAATACCTTCAGGATATATATATATATATATAGAGGAGGGTTTAAACCGGTGTAACTTTTACTAAGTATTATACTGTTCAATAACTTTATATTAAATGTGAATTTTGTAGATCCAACCGTTAGATTGAAAGTTTTTTATTCTTAAATCATGTATACAAAATTTTATATTAATTCAAGATGATTTGATACTTCATTCTTATAAAACAAAATTAACGTAATATATATATTTCAAAATATAATAAAATATGAACACTTTGATTACCTTTAAGTTGTTGTTCAATTTTAATAAAATTTTTGTAACTTTTACTAAGTATTATACTGTTCAATAACTTTATATTAAATGTGAATTTTGTAGATCCAACCGTTAGATTGAAAGTTTTTTATTCTTAAATCATGTATACAAAATTTTATATTAATTCAAGATGATTTGATACTTCATTCTTATAAAACAAAATTAACGTAATATATATATTTCAAAATATAATAAAATATGAACACTTTGATTACCTTTAAGTTGTTGTTCAATTTTAATAAAATTTTATATACACATATAAAGTAATATGAACTTTCAATCTAACAGTTAAATTTATAAAATTCATATTTAATATAAAGTTATTGATTTGTGTCGTTTGAATCCTCCTCATATATATATATATATATATTTCAAGGACAATTCTATATCTTGTTAGTTAACATAATGTTAGTTATAAGTGAATGTATCAGAAATATAATTAATAATAAATAAAAGATATAAAAGATATTTAATTTTAAGTAATTTTAAAAATTAATAATTGTTAAATAAAATTAAAAAAAAACAAATTATTACTTATAATTAGGAGTCGTATCATTTATAAGTTCATTATTTACTAAATTTTGGTGTATTATGTATGAAGTATACTTTCAATCTTTTTAATGTTGTTTGGTGTTAGCAAATGGTAAGAAAATCAAGAGATACAAGTTCCACAAGGTTCCAAAATTGAATTCTTACAAAAGAATCTTATAATAACAACTGAATAAGCAACTGAGATACACGGAGATTGATTAATGCAACCTATGTGCAAACTATATGATCCTATAGATGATGACAATGTATAAAGTTATAGAAACATTCAAATAACAAAGATAAAGACGCTTTAAGAGATAGGCAGATTGAGACGCGCGAAATAATTTTATTTTAGTTCTATTATTAATATTGTGATTCCAGTCTTTAATAAAACTTGTTGAGATATTTTAAATAATTTTATTTTAGTTGGATTACTATACTATTTTGATCTATATTCAGTCTCTAACATAACTTGTTCAGGTTCTTCATTAATCTTGTAATATACTTGCAAAACAAATACAATTAAGTTAAAACTAGACTCACAAAGATTCTTCCTAAAACACTAATAAGAAAAAACCCTCTACCATACCAACCAACACTCCAACAGAGAAAATCCCATTCTCTAATCAATAAAAACTTGACAAAAATGTTTTGTTCCCATTTCCATTCTGTTCTTTGGTCCTAACACAAGATGCACTATGAAGAGAAATAAGCTGAATTGTCATCAGATACACATTCCGTAGAAGAATTTCAGCTTGGACACACAATCTCATGAGGCGTTCATATTGATGAAAGTATCAGTGACAAATTGTATATGACAATCGGAGGAGATAAAAAATAGGTTAAAATACTTTTTTTAATTTTATAGTTTTATTTACTTTATCTTTTACTTACTATAATTTAAAATAGGTGTTTTTTAGTTCATGTAATTATTTCTTTAATCTGTTTTAGTTCTTATATAGTTCAAGATAATTTTTTGATATTTATATTTGTCGTTTTTAAGATTTTTTTAGTCTCTATTATCAACTTTATTTAATGTTGCATGTTTTGTGTTGACACGATAGAAGAATTAATTGAATTGTGTGTCTAATATTGTATTTATTTTGTTGGAATTACTCTAAATTAGGTCTCTTGACACTTTGTCTTTTTTGTACCTTCTTCTATGTCCATAGTTGAGACATATTTTTTTTTTTTTCACAAAATTGAAAACCTCTACCATATAAGTACAAAATAGACAATGTTATGAATAACGATAGATACCATATTTTTTTTTCACAAAATTGAAAACTTCTACCATATTAATACAAAATAGACAATGTTATGAATAACGATAGATATTAAAAAGATTAAAAAAAAACTATAGGTATAGGGTCTAAAAAGATCTATTTTATGCTATAAGAACTAAAAATGATTGAAAAATTATATGTTTAAGGACTAAAAATGTCTATTTTAAAATATAGGGATTAAAAAATAAAGTAAATAAAATTATAAAGGTTAAAAAAATATTTTAACCTAAAAAATATCTATTTCTTTTTTCCTTCTCTTATCCCATAAAAAATATAGGTTTTTCCTTGGTATTACTCACTTTCACCTCATCAATCCATTTTAAGAATAAAATGCTACTTCTACACACGATTCCATACTAAAGTTGGTGGTCAAACACTAGTTATTAACTAAATTTCGCATGTGCCAAACTATTATGTTTCAATTTTCAAGTAAAATTATGATGGAGGCTGGACCGCTTTTACGAGTGGTCTACCAGCACAACAATTTATGTTCATAAGATTAATTTATGGTATAAATTATAATGATATACTCTCGACATAGTATAATATCACTTCTTTTTCTCTCTCGTCATGACCACCACACACTTCTAAAAAATTGTCAATGTTTGCCGCTCATATTGTTGTCGGAGATGATTTCCGATAATGATGTCACTTTTTTTCTCTATTTTCTCACTTCTTTCTTTTCCTTTCATTTTTCTTTGGGTTGGATTTTGATATGTAGGCTTAACATGGCAAAGGTGTGCGAGAATGGACCCTAATGTCGTGGTGGGGAAGTGCTAGAATGGGTTGTTACAGGGCAGCAAAAGCATGCAAGTGCGATTCACAATGCGACTAAGAGTATGGATCTGTAACACGGAAACGAATCTATCACAATGAGCACAAATTTTCCATGATGTAGCCGAATTTGTCACACACTACTTTTTTCCTATTCTCTAGTTTAGACTTGGTCGGTGTGAGCACGAATCTGCAGTGACGAAACACAAACCTTTCACAACAAAGCATGGTACGCAAACCAAATTTGCTATGATGGTGTGCAAAGGATATCATAGATAGAACAACATATTTTTCCTCATTTGTGACTTGTAAAATGTTAATGATGTTGGTCGCCAAAGAAGACAATGGTGGAGGTGAGTGCTTGTGCACCATGAGAAATGCATAAGTCCAATCCCTACATCAGAAACACACTTTTGCATTGGTGTATGTCGCCATAGGAGAAGGAGAGGAGGAGGAAAAATGGAGAGAGGGAAGTAGAAGAAAATAAAAAGTACGTCTCGCCACTAGAGGTAGTGTTGGAGAACTAAAAATGGTGGTGTGTAGGAATAAATTAAAATAAAATAAATGAGAAAAGAGTATACCATAAGATGATATATAGTAAATTAATTCAAGGACTATTAAAAATAGAATTCCATAAACCACCTATGAAAGTAGTTCACCTTATATTTCATCCAAAATTATACTCTCATTGTTATCTATTACAAGAAAAAATAAAATAGACATATTTTTTCTTAAATATAAACAAATTTTAACTATTTTTATTCTATTTAATCATATTTTTCTTAAAATATTTTTCCTTTAATATATAATATTTCAGTTACATTACTTCTTTTGACATTTTTAATAAAGATAATTTTTTAAAAAGTTATTATAAAATTAATAAAATTTAATACAAATAATTAATTTTTAAATATACATAAAATGAATTTTTCTTCTTATAATTGAGAAGAAAGGGAGAAAGTGTTTATCCAATCCTTCAGCCCAACTCAAATTATTCGGGCATCAAAACTCTAGTCTAATTGATGACTTTTGGCCCATAGTGTAATTAATGATGAAAAAGATATAGGTGTTTCTTCATATAATGATATCTATTATCTAGAACCTACTAGGTCGGGTTCGTGCAGACGGGTCCCGAAGGTTTTCGAGTTTTCTGAAAAAACAAAACAAAGCGAAATTCCAATCATTAAGCATAATATTTTTCTGGAACATGCGAGATCGACCCATGATTTCATATAAATACCTGGTGCGTCCGTTTAGATTTGAGACAACAACAAACACGAAAAGCATCACTTGCCAACATATCACACAACATTCTAAAGAGTTCCAAACTTAAGCTAAGTAAGGAAGAGAAGATGTCACTGATCCCAAGTGTCTTCGGTGGTCGAAGGAGCAACGTATTCGACCCTTTCTCCTCTCTTGAGGTATGGGACCCTTTCAAGGATTTTACTTTCCCCTCTTCGCTTTCTGCCGAAAATTCTGCGTTTGTGAACACTCGAGTGGATTGGAAAGAAACCCCAGAAGCACACGTGTTCAAGGCTGATATTCCAGGGCTGAAGAAAGAGCAAGTGAAGGTAGAGATTGAAGATGGCAACATTCTTCAGATAAGTGGAGAGAGAAACATTGAGAAAGAAGATAACAACGAAAAGTGGCATCGCGTAGAGCGTAGCACTGGTAAGTTCTTTAGGAAGTTCAGGCTGCCAGAAAATGCTAAAGTGGATCAAGTTAAGGCTTCTATGGAAAATGGGGTTCTCACTGTCACTGTTCCTAAGGAAGAGGTCAAGAAACCTGATGTTAAGGCCGTGCAAATATCTGGTTAAAAATCAACGTGTATTAAATCTGGTTTTTTACTTTGTCGAAGTAAGTATCTGGCATATGGTGTGGCAATGAATTTACTGGAAGATGAATAGTAACTATTGAAATAAGTGTTAGTTGTTCTGGCTGTGATATCATTTAATGGAAGATGTACAATGTGATGAATAGTAACTATTGAAATAAGTGTTAGTTGTTCTGGCTGTGATATCATGTGTCAAAGTGTCTTAAATGTGATGCAGACACACAAAAGAATAATGGAATGTGAAAACTGTGATTGGATTATTGCATCTGTTCTCGTATATTAAGATTACATGTTTGATATATAATAATAAATTTGCAAATAAGTGTATCAACCAGCACGCAGGAAACAACCTTGTACCTTTACTGGTTTCTTGTCTTTGGAATATGGCTTCACAGCTAGAGTGATTATAGAGCTCTTACAGGTAAAAGCTATGACTAGAGAAGATAATTAATGCAACAATGGAGACAATCAATTCTGTCATTGAATATGCTTTTAATAAGATAAATGGTTGGAATTATATTATAGTACAGTAAACAAGAAAAAAAAGAGTTGCAGGTCTTAAGGTAGTATTCTCTAAGCAACTGGCACAATCTTTAATCAACTGTAACTGCATTCATACATGACCACACAGAAGCTGGCACCAGCATCATCTTCCAGTTCTGCAAGGGTGTGTGGTGGATGAGAATATCCCATCCACTCCGATTAGTCAGAAAATAAAAGACTCCCATCATATAATAAACACACCACGAAATGCAACACGTAAGTACTTTGCATATTCTTGTGGCAAGAATTTGCAAAATACTTGTGTTTGGGTGTGTCACATTTTGTGGTGTTTCAATTTGATGAGCAAAATAATGGCTCCACCAGAAGATCACATCACATACCAAATGTTGCGCGCTAGTGCTGTCATGGCATAGCTCTCCAAATCAACACTAACTCTTTAGCTTTGTTTTCCCCGGCTTCATTCCCTTTCACCAGCCTTGAGAATTGAACTTGCCGTTTGCACAACCATGTTTGTTTGGCTCAGGCAGCACGAACCTCCCAACAGGTTTTGGCTTCTCAATGAAAGAATACAAAGTAAACCTTCATTATTCAAGCACTTGCAACATTTTTACCTCTCCAAGGAAATCCTTTCAATCCCACTTCCTTCACCATCAAGCTAACCATCATCCAGAATCCAATCCAATGCAGTACAAAAGATAACAAGATCCACAGTTTGAACCATTTTGCCCCTTTCAACAATTAAAGGCTCTACCTCTTTCCCAGCTTTGCAGAACAACACTTCCAAGTTCCAAAACCACATATTGCAAGACCAACCAGATGTGCCCTATTTGCCGTCCATCTCTATTCAATCACCTAACAACCCCCAAATTCAACAGCAATCAACAAAATGCATTTTGTTTTATTTTACTTATTAAAAAAACATTTAATTAAAACACCACCAATGTAGAAATTTTGATACCATTAAGGCGTAAACCATTTAGAAATCATCGAATCACAGATTATTATATATAATAAATGGTTTACTTAAATAATAAATATCACACCTGAAACTGAAAGTATAAAAATCTTTACCCTAACATGAAAATTCCAATCTAAAAAAAATTAATAAACAGAAAGGAAAAAAGGCAGAAAGTGATGAAACACTCACCAATTTCATGCCAAACAGAATATGTCATCAGTCATCAACAAAATATACTGCAAAATCCTTAGCGGAGCATTTCCAAAATCTAAATGGGGCAACCTCAACTCTCTAACTCTGCATGCCCCATCCACCGGAGCTCCGACCCCACCGACCCGTACCCGGTTCACATCCACCCTCTTGAAGAGGTAAAAAACACCGCACCGATCCGAAGACGGGTTTTTCTTGGTTTTGCAAAAGTTCCAACCTTTACCGGCGAGAATCTGGCAAAACTCCTCCATGGTGGCGACCCGGTGGCCGACGACCCGCGAGTAGAGGGAGAGTGAGCAGCAGTCCCAGTTGCTGGCGGCGGCGGGACGGTGGTCGGAGTGAAAAAGGACGATCTTGAAGGCGCGTGGGGAGAGCGTGAGGAAGCAGCGAAGGTGGGTGAGTGGGGTTGCGGCGAGGGAAGGGAAGGGAATGGGAACGGCGTCGTTTTGGAGAGAGCACGAAGAAGTGGCGGAAAACGATGATGGTGTGGATGATGGGTTTGAGAAGATGATGTGAGAGAGTGATGGTGTAGGGTACAAGTCAAGACCTAAGTCCCTTGCAATGGTGGCAAGCCTATATGTGTCTCTTATTATCTCTTTTGTTGGGAGGAATATAAGACCTGGGCTTTTGTACCTTCTTCTTCTTCTTCTTCTTCTATAATGGGGTGTGCCATGTGCTTCATCATCACTTTCATCATCATCATCATCATGAGAGTAGTGGTGGTGGTGGTTTTGGGTTAGCAAGTTAGGGTTGTGGTTGATGGTTTCACCCAAGACAAGAGAGCGAACCAGCTTTAGTGGAAGCATCTTTCTTTCTTTGCCTTGTGTGTGTTTGTGTGTCCTTAACGAATCACAAGACATGTCTTGTGTTGTTGTCCTTCTCATTCTTCTTTTTTTTCACCCCGGTTCGGTTTGTCTTCACTTTAGTAAACTAACCCTTTGAATTAAATTAATTTTTATGGGTCCTACACTTCTTAGTATTCGTATTTGAATGGGTAGATGAGGGTATGGTATAATACCAAGCCGAAAGGTAACGCTTTGCAAGGAAAGGATTGTGCTGTGACCTTTGTTATGCTAATTATTATTTGGAATTCGGAATTTTGAGTCAATGAATGAGTAGACTGAATATTTTTCTTTTCGTGCAATGCTGCATTGGTCTTTGGGCCTTGTGTCTTTTGGGCTTGCAGTTGATTTTAGTTATGTTCGGCCCTGAAGGCCTTTTCCAAGATACAAGTTTATGCTCATTAAATATCTCAAAGTTAACTATATGATATTTTGATACTTATCGTACACCAAAGAGAAAGGGATTAATTAAGATTTGAGCGCAGTAGGAAGAGGGTTGATACGATGAAGGAAAGAATAAGGACCTGGATAAAAAAAGCATTAGAAGAAATCCCAGTTTGAATGGTTGAAGCAATGCTTTTATGGACCGACAACATGATATAAAAATGTTTCATGCATTTGCTGAAACACGCAACGTACCATACCCTGGACATTACATTATAGCCTTCTTCTCTGGTCATCCATCGTTACATGGTTGAATATTGAATTCAAAGATGAAGTTGGGATTGTTGGTATTGCTAGTCTTGTTCAGCTCCTCCTCTATTTGTTCAGCTTGGTTTGGTAGTAAACACAAAACTTCAAGTACAAGTACAAGTTCAAGTTCAAGTGGAAGCGGAAGGTACTCCAATCGTCACGAAGCATCATCGTCATCATCCTCGCCATTCCTACTAAACCGTTTTCGTTCTAGCTCATCCGTCGTGTTACCGGTTCACGGCAATGTCTATCCTGTTGGGTACGTAAAAGGGCCTTCCTTTTCCCGTAATCTTCTTTGATTTCACTTTATATATATACATTTCTTTCTCCTTGTTTTCTTCATCCTTTTGTGCTTGGGCCCTCTTTAAGTTGCCTCTAACAATGATGAAACAATGAATGAAAACAAACATTTATGGTCTTCTAATTAGGAATTTAATACTCTAATTAAGTTTATATATGGATGAAAAATAGTTGTATCAAATGTGTTTTATACAAGTGATTAATAAAATTTACATGATTTAAATATATTTTTAATCTTTGAATTTAAGGTAAGTTTGTTTTTAGTTTATCAAATTCAAAATTGGTTTTTAGTCTCTCTCATTTTAGAAAATTTTGTTTGAATCTTTATATTTAAATTTTGTCAAAGAATTTATTAAAAAGTATCGCATATATGAGTGAAAATACCATATTAAACATGTATAAGAATTAAATACCACTATGAATTTTAAATATATTATTAATAACATGATGCATTAAAATAATATTTTTTAAAATTATAAGAATTAAAAATAATAATTTAAATTTGAAGAACAAAAATAAATTTATCTTAAATTTAAGGGACTAAAAACATATTTAAGTTGATTTATCTTTAACTTAGGAGAGAAGAAATTCCATCTCTACTTTGTATATAGAGTTGGAACTAATGCATCACTTTATTTTATTTTGAAAGTGAACCAATCTAATAAAAAAATTATATCTCCTAATTGTATATTAGTTTTATGTTTAATTATAAAAGTTTTTCAACTAAATTATGTTTTTAAGAAAATTAATTAATTTAATTAAGAGCATTAAATTTGTCAACAATTTAAACAAATTTTCTAAAATTATCCTTAATATCTTTTAAATTAATCTCTTTTTTTTTTAGTTAATCAATTTTTCCTAACTAATTAATGTTTAGAAGAAAAAGATATTTATGTGCTTATTTATCTTCTTCGATCCTAGTAAGAGAACTAAAATTTTTATACAATTAATTTGAAACATCTATATCTTTTGTTTAAGAATTGTTAATTAAATAAAGGTATTGTAGAGAAGATATAATTAATATAATTGACAATTAAAAGAATCTTCTAAAAAGAGACCATTAATAAAATGAAAAATGTCTTATATATAGAAACAAAGATAATATAAGTATGTGTGTCCATATATATGTATATGTGTGAGAGAGAGTCTTTTAAATAATTTTTTATCCTTAAAGAAAATAATTCTTGACTCCTCGGTTAACAAAAAAAAAATGTATTAGATTAAATAAAACATCTTTACAAGCTTTCTTTGCATTTGAATAAATAAAACATTTTTTACGAGCTCGTGCTTTCTTTGAATTTTTATATTATCTTTTCTTTTGGATTTGAATTGCCCTTGGTTGGTTGATTAAAATCACTAAATAAATATGAAATACTTTATTGATACCCCTAATTTGTATTTATCTTTCTCATTCTTTTTCCATATGATATTAATCATATCACTCACTTAGTTATCTTTTCTTCTTATCTCTCTCAAGATGTAACCATATCTTAGGTGCCCAAAAATCTTTTTTCCAAATAAATATCATTTGGTTCATATAATTTCAGTGGATTTGACTTAAAATACATATTAAAAATTAATACAAATCATTCGATCTATGTGTTGACTTAATTCATAAATGTTTGAATGCAAAAATGCATGAAATAGTTTTTTTTTTCCTTTGGTTAATGAAAGCCCTTAAATTTATAAAGTTAGCTAGTGTAATTAGTGGCATTAAATTTATTATCAATTTGTACTATTTTATCAAAAACACCCTTAATTATTGGAATTTATTATCTCAATATTTTTACTTAATTAGTTTTCACCTGATTAATTACCTTTATCTCATTAATGTATAATATTTGTTGTAATTAATTTATCTTATTAATTAATATACAATATTTAGAGTAAAGTAATTAAGGGTAATTTAGTTAAAACATAACTAATGTAAGACACACAAAAATATTTGTTTGTTTATCAAAAGTACAAACAAATTTTAAATATATAAAAAAAAAAAAAGTGTCTATAGGGACGATGGTAGTATCTTGGCAAGCTTTTTTTTTTTTTTTTTAAAGTTGGGACATTTGAAATATGTATATATAAGCCTCTAATACAAATCAATGTTACTTTGAACATTAACAGGTTTTATAATGTGACTCTGAACATCGGGCAGCCACCAAGGCCATATTTTCTTGATATTGACACGGGTAGCGACCTCACGTGGCTTCAATGCGATGCCCCTTGTGCCCGTTGCTCTCAGGTCAATCAATATTCTCACTCACTTACCAAATTAGTAATTTTTTTTTTCTTGAAAACGTGCCATGTCAAAATTCAAATGAGATAAGATTGGAGACTAGGCTCATTTTTGCAGTATAATATTCATACTAATATTAGCCTTAAATATTTGTTGCTTATTTTCAGACACCCCATCCACTTTACAGGCCCAGCAATGACTTAGTGCCATGCAGACATGCCCTCTGTGCATCCTTGCACCACACTGATAACTACAACTGTGAAGACCCACATCAATGTGACTACGAAGTTGAGTATGCAGATCATTACTCATCCCTTGGTGTACTTGTCCATGATGTCTATACTCTCAACTTTACAAATGGAGCCCAACTTAAAGTTCGTATGGCACTTGGGTTAGTATCATATCTCATACCATTTTTACTTCCTAGCTTTATGCTTTGAATTTAGCATTTCTGTAAGTATTATCGGTGTTATTCTCCAATCACCATCGGAGTTTTACCTCGGTGTTATATTTAAACGTAATCTTTAATCACTCATATTATTGAGGTGAAATTACAATGTACTAAATGTATCTTCTAAGTTTTGTCGAGTCATAAAACACCACTGTTGCATGATCCACTATTTGGCTTATTTCAGACTTCAGAATACCATTTGATGATTGTAATTTGTATCACATGTATTAGCTTTTCATAGACACTTGTTTTTATTCTTTTGTGCAGATGTGGATATGATCAGATTTTTCCAGATCCTTCACACCATCCGTTAGATGGAATGCTTGGCCTTGGCAGAGGAAGAACCAGCTTGACATCACAGCTGAATAGTCAGGGTTTGGTGCGAAACGTGATTGGACACTGTTTGAGTGCACAAGGAGGAGGGTATATCTTCTTTGGAGATGTTTATGATTCTTCTAGACTGACTTGGACTCCGATGTCATCCAGAGACTAGTAAGTGGATCTCCATAACTCATATCTTCATTTACATTTTCCACATTTGTTGTCATGATTTCAATTTCTTTCTCTAGATTAAAATCTCATTTTTGTGATCTGTCTCAGCAAGCATTACTCAACAGCAGGGGCAGCTGAACTCCTTTTTGGAGGGAAGAAAGCTGGGGTTGGAAGTCTTTTTGCTGTTTTTGACACCGGGAGTTCTTACACTTACTTCAACTCTAATGCTTACCAAGCACTAATTTCTTGGGTCAGTTGAAAACTTTCAATGATAATCCTTCAATTTCAAGCATTTTACAATGCACAATGCATTGCTAGGATCATGTCATATCAATTTCATCATGCAATTATGAATTGTTTGAAGAAAGAAATAGAAATATAGTATTTCTTCAATAATACTAGAAAATGTTATTGACATGATACTTATCATGTATCTTTTGGCTTAATATCCACATGTAGTTGAGGAAAGATTTAGTTGGAAAGCCCCTAAAAGAAGCACATGTTGATCAAACTCTCCCTCTCTGTTGGCAAGGTAAAAGACCTTTCAGAAGCGTATATGAAGTGAGAAAATACTTCAAGCCAATCACTCTTGGTTTCACTAGCAATGGGAGAAATAAAGCTCCGTTTGAGATCCCTCCTGAAGCGTATTTGATAGTATCAGTGAGTCTCACTTAATCAATTTCTTCTAGATAAACTTTCCTAGTGCATGTAACAGATATGCTAATAAATTGTTCTGACAGAACATGGGAAATGTTTGCTTGGGCATTCTAAACGGCTCTGAAGTAGGAATGGGGGATATGAACCTAATTGGAGGTAGGAGTGTTGTTACTATCTCTTTTCTTCTGATGCTTATTCTGGATAATGGAAATTATCACTTGTAGTACTAGTGTTCTGCATTATAAAATATATCGTCCTGTTTATGCAGACATATCCATGTTAAACAAAGTGATGGTTTTTGACAACGACAAGCAATTGATTGGTTGGACATATGCAGATTGTGACCGTGTTCCGAAATCCAGAGATGTCAGCATTTGATCACAAAAGGATACCTCTGTCATAATCAAATAATAGCTATTATCCTACTTTATAGAACAAGATGGTAGTATCATACGAGTGTTTATCTGCTTATGTAGAAAGCCATATATTGTGCATAACATTATAGAGACCTTGATTATTACTGTTTATAGAGTATACTCCTATTTCCGACTTGTTACGCGTGCAGAGAAACCAGTCTCATCAAAAATCATATGACATTAGTTTGATTGAACGGTTTTGAGGATTTAATTTGGAATTGGGAAGGCAAAGCGAAGAGTCAAAAAGAGTAATGCAGGTTGATGCAAATATTAGGTGCATCTCTTGATTCTATGATTAATTGGCAGATTTTATACAATAATATATTGTCAAATGTCAATCGATTCTGTTTCTCAACATTTTTGGATCTATTCAAATTTGAGTGTAGCAACATCATCAATTATGGACAATTCATAAACCGGATAATTCGACAAACAGTATCAACTCATTATTAGTACACGGGCAGCTGTTTTTGTTCTTTGATTATTTTAGTGCAAGTTCTTTTCTTTTGGCATTGCTTTTTTGTTCTCTGCCTATAATTCAAAGATACAGACAAAGTCATTTATAGTATGAATATACACCATTTTTTCCATCCTTTGAATGTAAAATTTTTCATTCAATTGTTTCCTTTGAATTGAAAAGTAGAAGTTATATATTACAAATATATGAAAAAATCATACTGCAATACTACAGCAATGGAACAAGAATTTTCCTACGGGAGTCCTTACACCTACACATTAACCCTCCAATATCCTATCATGGCACCCAATTGAGATCATTCTACTTCTTATTTATTTTACCTACTGCAGCTCCCTGATCTCCTTTTCCCATTTAGTTTTCATCTAGGTAAATCCAACGTTCCCTGGTCTCTCTAGAACAAAGAATAAGAATAATCTCTGGTTCACTGCACGTGGACCACAGTTCTCGCACCCCACATGTAGTATAGTTAGGTGCAATGCCATTGCACACAAATGTTGACTTGTAGAAAAAATAATAAAGATATATGCGGGTCCCATTTTATGCAAACACCCCCTCTTGTCCAAAACGGTTCGTTTTCACATCAATAAGGCTTCTGTAGATACATGAACATGTCCTGCAAAGGGGAAAGCTGGCCCATTTGATACTGAACCTGATTGCCAAAAGGGTCATCCACGGAGATGTTATTATCAAAGTAATTGAACTGAAAATCAAACGGGTTCTCTATCTGTAGGTCGAGATCGTTCCACTTGGGCTCACTCTGCACCTCCCTCTCGCACGTGACATCAGGCGAAACCACGTGCTCCGAACAGCTCGAGTCCGTGTGCAACCTAGGCACCGAATCCGACGTGTCCATGTACAATTGCTCCATCCCAAGCTTATGAATCTCCGGCTTCGTCTCGTTCTCGTTCTCTTTCTCATGCTCAAAATTATGAACCACCCCATGATTCATTTTCGGTGCCCCCGTGTTGTATTTTTCAATCTTCCCCTTCTTGTTGTAAATTCGACACAACACCCAGTCATCAAGCTGCACAATCATACCCAAATCAGACATTTTTATCCCCAAAAAAAAAACAATTAAAATTAAGCAAATTGGACACTGGGAAGTAGTGAAATACCCTCAAGTTGTTATTTTTCTTGGAGGCAGAACGGTCAACATTGGCGAGACGATACTCGTGCATGATCCAATTGGTTTTGACTCCCTTGGGGGCTTTTCCCGCGTAAAAAACAAGAGCTTTCTTGATTCCAAGCGCTTTCGGTTTTCCGATCGGTTTATCAGCTCCGGTGGCTTTCCAATAACCGCTCCCGGCGGCCCGGTTCGGCCGTGAACCGTTAGGGTACTTCCTATCCCGAGGAGAGAAAAAGTACCATTCTTTCTCGCCGTAAAATCCCATTTCTGCATACACACATAAACTTGTCATCAATCAATTGAACGAAACGAACCAAATCAAACAATTACTTAACGCAAAATGGGAAATTAAACAAACCTGGAAGCTGCCATGGGTCGAATTTATACAAATCAACCTCTTTGATTACAGGAACCGCGATTGGTTGGCCAGCGCATTTCCTACACAAGTAGTGATTCACCAATTCTTCATCAGTGGGGTGAAATCTGAAGCCAGGAGGCAATTCTATTTCACCCTTCATTCCAATCATTCGCGTGTGCTCTTCGCTGTGTTGAACAACCGAAAAATTCAGGCTTGCCAGCTTTCACTTGGTGGTGGTGGTGGTGGTAGTGGTGGTTTTTGTTGCTCTGCGACTTGAAACGTGTGAGAGAGGACACACTGGTTGGGTTTTATAACGCGAAGAGGGCAAAAGAAGGAGAGATAATTTAGACACGTGCGTTGATGAGGTGGAGGCCAAATCCATTTGACAATTTTTAATGTTTTTTTTGTGAGCTGACCGCAGCCGCCACGTGGCGCTGCTTGAGTGGGCGTGGCGCACGTGAGAGTGATGATTCTGTCATGGCTTACGTCAGCGGGGGGTTGCCGTAGCTCGCATTTTCAAAATGTCGGCTCCGGAGTTATTAGCCACGGTTGACTGTGATCATTATCGTCTCCACCGGTACGTGTCGTGTTCCTTGCTCCACCCAATCGCCGGGTGCCTCGTGTCAACACAACACTAGACATGCTCTCAACACAATGACGCCAGCATTACTTTTTGGTTCACCTTTTGTTGCACATTTTTTTATTGCAATTCAAATTTAAATCATTTTATCAAAGAATATTTTTTAGTATATTCTATTCTAATTTTAATATTTTATATTATTAATTATTTTACTTGAGAAACGAATTAACTGAGACAAAAATCTGGGATTAATTGCCACTGGTGTGAGACCAAAGTAAGCGTGAAACTTTGGCTGCAGAGGATCATAACCCCGATTCCACGTCGTGTTTAAATAATACGTCAAGTTCTTTGGTGCACACGTACGCAGACCCACGTCATCATCTACCTGGATTTTTAGTTCAATTCATCTGTAACACACCAACCTTCTCCTCCAAGAAATTGAACACAACCACAAGAATAGTCTAAACACGTTATATATATATATATTATATAATTAAGGGTTGGATTTTGCCATGTTACATTAATTAATAAACGAATCTTCAACTCATGACCCTTCTAAGTTCTTTGTTGGTTACGCGAAAACTCAACATCGTGCCCCATCACAAATTAATATATGGCCATTAATTTCCACACCTTTCCACATAATGTCTCATTCGGAATAGTATTTTCATTTCTCTAATTACTCTTTTTGACACACTTCATTTAGTTGATGCGCCCTAAAAATTATTACGTATGAAAGAAAATTATAATAGTATAATTACCAACTTAATTATGTTTTTTTGTTCGGGGAATTAATTGAAAAAAAAAATTACTTAGTACTACTATACATCACAACTAAAACCATAAAAACAGTGCATTCTTTTAGCAACGTTTTTTTTCCGGGCGTGAAAACAAGTAAACAAATAGGCGCCGCACAAAAATTAACGCATGATATGATACAACAAGTATAAAACTATATTTTAGGCTTTTTAGCATAACATGACCAATAATAGTATTAAATTAAAATATTGTAGCACTAACACCAAAAGGCACAGGCATGCATGCATGTAGTAAGTAGTCAAAAACATTAGACAAATTTCTCGAACTACATCGTCGTCTCTTTAAAAAGGTTTCTGCATGGTTTGGCCATAATTTTTTTTATTGTTTTCTTCTCTGCTACTATTTTTTCCTTCCTATACGCACTTTGATCACAATTATGAATTATGGGTAGGTGGGTGAATTATGGCGGGTTTTGACCCAGGTTCACTTGACAATATTAAAATTAAGTAGAAGGTATATAAGCATATATAGAATATTCCTAATCCTAGGATGTCATCTGTAACAAGAGGTAGAAAGTGGATTAACAAATAGGATGTGGAAATCTAGTTCTAAGAGACGTAATGGGTGACTTATGCCCTAGCTGTGTGGAAGATACCTCGATGTTTCCTTCGAAATTATTTATTTGGAGTAGGTCAGGGATCATGCTAATTATGCGCTATATTCCATGGATTAAGATAGAATAGGACTGATTTGGTGATTTTTTATTCCTCCAGTCAAATCATTGTCCTTTTCTTTTCAATTTGTCCAACTTGTATCACATACCCTTTTGAAAAATCTTTGACTTCTTCCTTTCATTTTCTTTTTCTTCACTACCCTAAACAGTCAAATTTTCATATATAAATTAGTGCCTATCAATTCTTACAATAATATTTCTGGATAAGAATAATCAAATATGTTTATATATATATATATATATATATATATATATATAAATAAAGAAATACCTGTTTATTTCAAGAATAATTCTATTTAAATTTATTCTGTTAAATAACTCATGTTTTATATCAAATTTTAACGATCTAACTATTAAATTTAAATTTCTTAATGTATATAGATCAAGTCTGCAAATTTTTAAAAATTTTAAAAATTATTTAATACTTTATTTTATTAATTCAAATTAAAAAATAATTATAAAATTATTTATACATTAATTTAAATTAATGAAATGAAATAAAATAATTTTTAAATTTTTAAAAAATTTACAAATTTAATCTATATATTAAAAACTTTAATTTTAATAATTAAATTATTAAAATATGATATAAACTAGTAAGTTTAAATAAATTTATTCATGGAATAAACATATATACTCAGATTGAAATTGAATATTTAGTTTTGTTTTGTCGGTTGGGTTTTACTTGGGCAATAAGTATGTATGGTCAATTGGTCATAAAGGTTGTCTAGTAGAGAAGTCTAATCTAATGAACAGTATATGAACTAATTGATTATTAACACTAAAAGCAATATAAAAGTGAAAAGAGGAAGGGAAGTGGACAGAACATCTGAATCAGTGGTGAATCTACCTAGGATGGATGAAGCGACTTGCAGCAGGTCCAAGTGAAATGAACATAGTTTATTAGTGTGTCAAACGTAGGTTCTGGGAAGGTTCTTCATGCTTCATGCTAGCTGCCAACCTTGACTTCAGCATTCTGTCCCCACAATGTACCTAGGAAACCGACCAACTGCCGCATTCTCGCTTTCAAATGTCTCTGCTGCCCGGCCCATGTGCTCAATTCGGCTTGGGCTTGGGCTTGGATTTGGGTTCTGTGTCCATAAGTCCATTGCAATCAGTGGACCAAAAAATTACAAGACTCACAAGTACTCCCACATTGAGTATTAATTTGTTTGTCCATGACCCGAACTTATCCAATTACAAATTAGGATTTTCACGGTTAATTAAGGGATTGAGTTTCATCAAATATGTCAATATATGCTTTGATGTTTATTCACACTTCACAAATCAACTATATAAATACTAATAGAATCTGATTTTCCTTGAATCTTATTATAAAGTTTTTACACACTAAATCAACAACCTATTTAATGAAAAATACTCAATGTATTGAGTAATCAAACTATGTCAACTCAATCAAAAAATATAAAATTGTGTCATCAGATTGCAACATAACTTAATAAAATAAGCAATCAACCTATGTTAAGCTTGGAGGTAGGCAATGGATGAGTTAGGTCCAGAAAGGGAAGAAAAGTAAAAAAAAAAAATCTTAAATACAGAAAAAGAAAAGAGTGAGACTAATTATTGAAATCTAGGCATATGTTTTTTTAAGTTAATTATCATTTTTTATTTTATACATATATAATAAATTAAAATTTAAAATATTTAACAGGAGTTGAGTTTTCAACATTAAAATTTGATACCGAACCCAAAAACAATGACTTTAATGGAATTGAGTTGAGTTGTATACAAACAATCTAAAAATTTAAACTGAAATATGGGGTGGATTACATAAAGTTTGGATTTGTAGTTACTCATATCCTTTGACACTTTTATTAAAATGCGAAAGCCTTGGTCTAATTGTGAAGCTAACTATGGGAAAAGATTCACACTTTTGTATTATTTAATTATCTTGATTGTTGCTTTTGCTCTAAGAATAATTAAACATCATATCATGTATGATTTATCTCATGGATTGGTGTAGTACTCTCTAGGATGTGTGGAAATGCTTTGTTCCCCTTAGAATCTGCAAGAAAAGGTGGATTGATGTATATATATCTGAATCTGATGATTGTCCCGCAATCAATAGTCCAATCGTTACATTATGTGTTTGGGTTTTAGCATGTGGTCACGGGTACAAATTAAATTACACTTTGTGTTTTTGTATTATATGATTGTGGGGTGAGACTTGCAATTGCAACATAAAATAACGTCCAAAAATTTTGGCTCACCTACCAAAGTTGTAACATAAGGGACAATGCCAATTTTTTTTATTTATTATTATTGAATTGGAATGGTTGCTTTGAAATTATTTGAAGAAAAGTATGAATGTTTTTTTAATTTGTATATAATAGACTAGAAGAACCAAATATTTAGAATGGAGGGAGTAATAATTATTATATTTTCATCAATTAATTCACATCAATGAAATTATAGGAACTAACTAGTTTAAATTTCTTTGTAGGTGGACACTTAAGGTTACCACTCAGTACGTTATCGTCAAAAAGTATTGTTTTTATTGTTAGATACTATATAAACAATAATTTAGTAATTTATATTAAAAAATAATAAAAATGGTGTGGTTAATCTTGTCAAGTGATTGTGATGTGGCTATTTTCTCTTTAAAAACTAAAAGAGATATTATAAATTGGCATAAGGAATGTCACGATAAAAACATGATGTGGCTAGGATTTAAATATTTCAAAACAAAAGTCAATAGCAATAAGAAAGTTTTATGTAAAAGAATATAATTAAAGAGAATAAAAAGAAAGAACCACAACAATATAATTCACAAAAAAGAAAAAAAAACATACAATGAAATATTCAAATTAAAATAGAGTTTTTCCATCCATTAACATGCCCCCAATTAAATGAAACGGTTGCGATTATTTGAAGTCAATTAACAATTGATAATTATCACGTGGAATGGAATTTTGGCCAATATGGTATAGAATATGTTTAAAAATACTTATATCTGCCATACTCACGATTTTTTTATGGAGGTTAGTGAATATTTAAGACAGTGAATACTTTATACTTTGTACCAATTGTCCAATTTTTCATAATATTACAAAACATTATCTAAAAAGGAAGATTTTTTTTTATTTTACATATAGTTATTTTTATACAAAGATGACTCCTACGTGAATATTTGTTTATTGTCAAAAATAAAAATTATCAATTTTGACTATATAATTAAATGTAAATGTTCAAAATTATGAATTAGTTG